CAATTTCTGGAGATCGCCACCTGCTTAACATAGTCACATATCAAAGTCATTGCTTACAAAAGCTTGTATGATCAAGTTCAGGTGATCACGCCCCCCACAATGCCCGACTATCGTACCCTATTTGAACCAGTTTTCCTCATTTATTCAGAAACAGTTCTAAAATGTCGATTATTACCACGACGGATTTATAAAAAGTAATTTTTAAGCTTTAGGACAATCATTTATATGCGCGTTTTTTTTAAACATCGATAATGAGGATAGATTAACCAATTGCAAAATGTACAATATTTCTCCATTTTCCAGAAAAAATCTGAGAAGATCTGTACTTATGAGATCGATATCGACTATAAGGTAGAGCAAATGCAGGAAAACCATGAAATAAAATCAAACTAAATACTAACARWTWGCSRCTAYTTAGAGACAAWTTGTCAGTATCAATGAACCAGAACACAATGAARATGAATCCACATGGGACCATTTTTAATTCATCTTTATTGTGTTCTGGTTCATTGATACTGACAATTTGTCTCTAAGTAGTCGCTAATTGTTAGTATTTAGTTTGACTTTATTTCATGGTTTTCCTGCGTTTGATCTAATCGGGAAACTGATCTGTGACCTCGTATATTCACAATAGCAGAACTTTAATGGCCAACTTCTCGAACTTTTACAAGTCTACCCGCATTTCAAATTGCATTGAAAGTTGTTCCAGCAATGCACAGGATCCTTTTGAAAAACTTTTTAAGGTGTAAAATACTTTCGATTATCCATATGCAGCAGAGATGCGGTCGATGAATCATCGAATGTATTAATTTAATAAGATTTCATAGGATATCGCCATGCAATACACAGGTTCAATCATATCCGTGAATGTATTGACGCATAAAGATAAGCTATAAGTATCGATAGAAATTTTCCATTGTACAAGTGTCTTGTAAAATCTTTTTAAAAAGATGACTTAGAGAAAACAATGAAGACACCATTGTCGACTCGGTCTTTAGTTTTATTTTCTATTGTTTTGCTTCTACACGATCCGAAAATTGAACTTTGTCAGGAAATTGAAATTTAGGATATTTTG